AGGTAGGTAGGTAGGCAGGCAGGCACGTAGGTGGGTATGTGTGTGTATATACATATATATATATATATGCCTATACTGGATCATGTCAATACCATGGCTTTCGTCCGCCAGGCAGATGCCATGATGAAACGAGGGCACGCACGGCAGACGAACCAACGGGAGGACTGAGCCTGGGGGTTTGGGTTGTACTGCAGGATGTAGGGTTTGGGGTTCAGGGTTTACTGTTTGGGAGTCTGTAAGTGCCTGCTGCGGCTCGGCTTGACGATGCGTTCGAGTTTTGAGCCAGGTTCGGTTCGGGCGGGATAGGCAGGAGTTTCTGCGAAAGCCCACCCACCAGCTCCTCTCAGGAACGACGTGGTGATGGAGAGCATTGGCCGGGTTCCCAACATGCAGCCTTGTGCGTAGTTGGGGCCGAGAGGAAACTAAACTCTTCCCAGACTGCGCGCTGGAACCTGATGTGTCGACGCATTTGTAGCCCTTGACTGTTCTTGATCAGCAAAACTGACAAAAACCCCCCCAAACCTTGGGGTCACCAGCAAAAAGCTTCTGAGATCATGTGGGAGTTTCCGAAAATTAGGGGTACCATATTTTGGGGCCTTTACAATAAGGATCCTATTATGTAGGGTACGATATTAGGGTCCCCTATTTTCGGAAACCCTAAACCCTAAACCCCTATTTTCGGAAACCCCCATGGTGCCGAGGCCTTCTTTGGTCCAGCAGGCCGCCTTGGCCGCCAGCTACGCGGCACAGGCAGAGGCAGGAGGCATGGGGCCCAGCGCTTGCAAGGCTGGGTGGATATATATATATATATATATTTATATATATATATATAGTGTAGTAATTGTAATATACTATGGTATATTAGTGGTATATTATTATAGTATGTCAAAATATTCTACTGACTCGGGGCATCGCTGGCATTCTGCATGAGGCGTACGCCAGCAGTTTGTGGCGTTTGTAGCACTTCGCACAGGGCTTCTGGACAAGATTTGTTTCGTGAAAAGCGAACATCGCAAGAGAGCAGTACCTACAAGAGTCGAGCCAGTATAGTCAGCATATTATACTAGAATATGCAAAAACATACTGTGACATTCTGTCATCTACCATAGTATACTACAATATATACTTGATTACAACACCGGCCCCCCGAGGTTCCTCCCCGCTGGATCGACGAGGGCTGTCGAAGTCCTCGCTTGGACCAGCTGAGGTTCGGTCACCAGGGGCTCCGGGACTCGATGTAGGCACATGAATAGCGTAGAACCCGAAACGATGAGGATGAGGATCATTGTGAGCATGGTCATGATGTTGGCGGCGATGATGGAATATGATGGCGCTGTGGTGCTGTCCGAACTATGGACATGTGACTAGGTTAACGTGCAACGGTGATCCACCCTGCAAGCCTGTAAACGAGACGTGTAAGCCTTTTGACAGGCTTTTGTTGCAGTATCTGAGACTACCATTCGGCACGATGGAAAAAGTAGAAAAGCTCAGTCAACTGTTGAAAAACGTTTTGGACATCCCCGTGGTGTGTTCGACCGCTCTCGCTGTGTGGGGCTTTCGAGGTCGTCTCTTTGAGGCTTCTAGCACGAACAACATCACTGTCCATAGTTCTCCGAAGTAGCTGCAGCGAGGTGACTTGAGTGTTGAGAGGGTTCGTGGTACCCGCATAAAACTCATAGATAGATCCTCAAAGGAACTCTGCCGCATTAATGTCACCTTCCGACACGCAGGTGCAGAATCGAGCCAGGAGACATGGCATGAAGTCGAAGCCTGTTTTCCGTTCTGAAAAGCTGAATCAGGTGGAGGATTTGTTAGTCTGAATGTTTGACTCATGTTGCCACGCTTTGCTTTCCCTCTCTTCTTTGCGAGGCGCATTTGAGCCCCTTTGAAACACTGGCTGCGGCCTCGGTAGAGAATTAGCTCACTGGTGTGGGGTTTAGACTTTAGGGCCGAAGGAAGTTGCATCGCAGTGACCCTGCAAGTCCATATCACAGCCCATTACTATAGCATGTTATAGTACAACATTGGAACTTGGTGCTTGACGGTACTGGGCTGCATACTGGACGCAAGCGCAGGGCCAGCAGCGAACAAAGTCCAGTACATGGGAGGTTTAGAAAATTAGGGGCCCCTTGCAAGACCCGACAGAGTCGGATCCTTATTGCAGGAAACCCCTACATAAGGTACCCCGTAATTCTACAAGCACCCACCACATGGGAGTTTCCGAAAATAGGGGACCCTAATATAGTACCCTAAATAGTAGGATCCTTGTTATAAGGACCCCTAAATAAGGTACCCCTAATTTTCGGAAACCCCCACATAAGGTACCCCGTAATTCTACAAGCACCCACCACATCTCTCCAGTCCAAGCTGTACCCAGGTCGTGGAAAGGCGCCGTGCTCGTGCAGTCAAGGAGGCAGCAGAAGCAGCTCGGTGCGAAAGAACCAAGGTTTAGGGGTTTCGGGCATATAAACGCTGACATATGTGTGTATATATATATATAATAATAATAATAATAATAATAACGATAATATATATATATATATATATATATATGTGTGTGTGTGTGTGTGTGTGTGTAGAGATGTATACGTATGTGTATGTATGTACATATATATATATATAGTGATAGAATATACGTACATATATGTGTACATATAGACATTATATATGTTTGTTTATAACTCATAGTACATGATGTAAGATACCATGCACAATAGCAAAATATCATCGTCAGGGTTTCCGGCTGCAAGGGTTTAGGCGTCTTTGTGTGTTTCCGGGATCAGGAAATTCATCAGACCTTGAACTCCTGAGTTAAGCCCCTATAAACTTAAAGTATGGTATACACCCAAACCCTAGCATAATTCTTAAGGGCCCGATATTAATTATGAGTCTTAAGCTGCTGATGAGGTGACCGACGTTCAAAGACTGGCTGATGCACGGATGGAAAGACACCCACTTACGGATTCTGTGATTGCAAGAGTGTGCTCAAACATCCCCCAAGCCTCTTGACCCAGAGCCGCATAAACTCATCAGAGTGATGAGTAAATGACGAGAACTCACTTCTCAAGACCCGTCCGGAGTAGCAGAGTGGCAGAAGCATCGCGCTGTGTTGTACTATAGTATATTACAGTTTATCGTGAATATAGTATACTCTAACATATTAGTGTATAGTACAACATGTTAAAAAACAATAGCATATTCGAGTAGATTGAAGCAGAATCAGTATCCTACAGCTCAAAGCTGCAAGGCCAGGAGGCGGCTGCCGGACCAGGGGGTCCCAGCAACGAAGCACGAGGAGATGAGGCCTCTCTGCAGGGCTCCGGGCCCATGGGCTTGTATGAATGTACTACATATAGATATACTAGGATATAATGCTATAGATATACTAGGGTATACTATAGATATACTAGGGTATACTATAGATAGACTAGAGTATACGATAGTATGCTGTAGTAATAGTATATTCTAAGATCTCATAAGGTACTATAATACCGTAGAAGCCGGAAAGCTGGAACATCAATATACTCATGCGCTTAAGGTAAAGCATAAAAAGGAATCCTAGCACTAATCATCCTAAATCCATGTGCCAACTTACTGGGGCTCATAGTAAACTATAACACATTAAAACATATGAAAATAGACTGTAACATATTACTCAAGATCATCATGTACTTATACCACAAGACATTAAAAACATATGATAAGGTCCTATGAGATGGAGCTTCCGGGTCCTGCTGATTTTCCTGTCAGGCCGGAGACGCCTTCGTACCCTTCGCCCTTCAAGGAGTGGGGCTCTCGGGCTCTGAAGATCAAAGTTAGTATAGGGGCCTTCATAGTTACCTATACTATTTTGGGGGCTCCCTAGTCTATATATAGTATAATATACCCCCGAAACCCTATTTTAATTATTTACAGTAAAGGCCCGAACGTTGGAAACCCAATAGCCTGAATCCTTAAGAGTAATGCATGAGGAACCCCAGCACTGATTGTCCTTAATCCGGTTTCCAACTTTCTGGGGTTCACCATAGACCCCTAGGCTCGAAAGGAGGGAACAAAACTTCCCTTTGGCTCTATGTTTGGCCTTCAGATCACCAGCCCTCTCGATGTAGGCCCGAACAGCTAGATTCAGGGTGGCGGCTGAATTGCAGATGATGTATTACTCCGTCAGCGCAGCCACTTGCTTCAAGGCTTATAAGAGTGCCAGCTGATCCTGTGAGTTTCCCATATGGTTCCTGCACCCAGCCCGCTAGATTGGATTGGCAGCACGCCCACACACTGGGGACGTCGAAGCTGAACGAGAAGTTGTAATGACTAACCGCACTACATGCTACATGAAATGCAACTTGCAACTACTACCAAAGGCTTGATCAACCCTTAATAGGAGTGAACCGGCCCAGCTAGTGAGGCGCGTCCTGAAGGGTTGTGTGGGGTGCGCTAACTCATTATTTCGGCTTCCAAAACATGGACTTCCCTTTCTTTTGCCGGTGCCTCCGGGACTTCCTTCGTCCTGACTGGGCCCACGACCTGGATCTTGATACGGAGGTCCTGGTCAAGGCTGACTTTCGGTAAGGTCATAAGGCTAGCGGTGCAAGGTTTAGGGTTGTTCAGGGTTTAGGTTTTTAGGGTGTTTAGGTTTTAGGGTGCGTGTCGTGAGAGAGTCCTTCAGAAAGGGTGTTTGTGGTAGTGGTGTTGTGCAAGGCTGATGTGTCTTCCATGGTGATCCGTAGTCCACAGCCCGAAACCTTGCACCCCTGAAGGGGTTTGGTTTCGGTATCCCATGGTCGATTCATTTGGGGAAGCATATCTGAAGGGGTTTGGTTTCGGTATCCCATGGTCGATTCATTTGGGGAAGCATATCTGAGATTGAACAGACAAACTTTTGTTGCGAACCGTATGTATATGAGGTATGTCTAGCCACATCCCAGCAACAGAGCTTGGCGGTTTTGAGAGAATCGCCCATGCGCCAGCCACTGAGTGGAGTGGCAAGCAGCAGCAGCAGCAGGAGCAGCAGGACTAGTAGCCAGCAGAAGTGGCTGTAGTGGTAGTACCAGTACTAGTATGTAGTAGTCACTAGTAGTCGTGGTGGTAGTCGTCGTCGTAGCAACAACAACATGCAACAACAACGACAACACAATACCTGTGTTCAAGAGCATGTTTTGCAATTTTGGCATCGTCGATTAGATAGCATTAGCAATATCGTTTTGTTAATTTTGCGGCCATTTCATTCTTGAGCGTGGTGGTGCTGTTTTTTCTATTTGAGCAGGTACGCCAGCCTTCGGGGACGATGGCCTTTGAGGAAGAGCTGCCACTCTACACCACGGCGGGGTCGTGGATGTGGGGTATGGTGAACGCCGGTTCTAGCATGCCTGCATATTATATCATAAAGAGTTTTTGGGTACCGTACATGAGCATGTAAGTAAGTGAGAGAAGCACATTTACGATGTCCCCAAGGTTGCCGTACTTGCCATGCGATTTTTTTGTGGCAGGCATTTGCTCGTATTTGTATTGCTTTGTGGATGCAATCATATCGACGCAAGGCGGATGTCACCCCAAAGAAACTGCTAGCACTTCTTACACGGCGTTACTCGGTCTCCTCCTTCCGATTGTGCCTCACCGGAGGTGAAAGATGTGCTGTGGAAGCTTTCTGCCGCTGGCTTTGGGCCACCGGCACGGATGACTCTTCTCCGAGGGAGCGAAAAGTTTTCGGGCCGCTTTGGTGTTCTCAGGGCATGTTCATCATCATACGGCCCGGGGGTCGAAAATTCGGGTGTAGAGCGTGGTACAGCGGGGTACTTCCCTCATCATGGGCCCTGTGCACGAGATCGGGGGCTTCATGGACGAAGCCTTGCATGGAAATCGAGCTCCACCTCCCAGGGTAGCTAAACGCAGATCGGGGGCTGGGGCGGTGCAGGGTTAGGGTACCCCTAAACTCTAAAGTTCAATCATGGTTGCCCTTTTCGATGCGCCGTGCTGTCGGGCTGGGGAAGCTGATGCAAAAGTTGTGGCCTTCACAGCCTGATTCTTTGCGAATTACCCTGCGAGGAGTTGGTTGCATTTCTTTGAGATGCTAACTAAGGCTGACGATCAATGCCGCTTGGCCCCAGCCTGTGATTGGGCGATTTTGCGAGTGCTGTTCGTGGAGGTTCAGGGGCCCGGCCTGTGTCCAGCATATCCTGGGTAGTATTAGGGAGACCCCTTAAACGGGGACCCTTCTTAACCCTACTCATGGCTCTCTTAACGGGGACCTGATTGAGAGGGTCTATATTTATTCACCAAGGGTCACCCTAATCCTAACTCCTAGCAAGCACCGTCGTTTGTATACACGTAAAAAGTACGCGGGCCAGCTATGACCACGGACGCTGTCCCTCTGACGCTCTTGCAATCAAAATGGACGAAGCCTAAGATGTTATGTAGACTACCCTTGCAAAGTAATAAAAGAAACATACTCAAGTGTAGCACATCCTGCCATCGATGCACCATTTTGGCAGTGCAGCTGTGCCAGAATAGCCTGGTTGTACTGCAGGCAGCATGACGGTCTTATAGTCTATTGTTACTACAGTACTAGAAAGATAAAGCGGAGGGTAACGGAATTGTAGACTGGTAGAGTGAGGCTTTCCCTAGCAACATAGCGACTTGTGTTGAACTCAAAGGCAATGTGTTAATCTATTTGACCATGGATCTTGTACCTTTCTCTGGTCTGGTTCAGAAACATAGTGTCATACAACTATCCACTCACAAGTTACAGCAGCTTGCAGTATCACTCTACATTAACTGTGGTTGCTACTCCGAAAAAGATCCAAAAAACTTATAAGATTTAGGCATATTAAGCCATACTACACACACGCACCCGTGCAAACACAGAGCTCAGGCGTCGTTGGGAGAGGCGGGCCTTATCGAAGGAGCCAGGGAGCTTGCCTCCTTGATTCAGAATGTGGAGTTTTCGGCCCTTTCAAACCCTCCGCTAGTCTGCAGAAGAGTGTGCCTCAGTTATCAAGCGATGATGCCAGCACACAGCGGTTCACGAGGCGGGGGGGTGGGGAGTTTTTTCGCAGGAGACGAGCTCCTCCTTATACGGGGCAGAGGGAACTACACCTACACTCGCTGCCAGAGCAGCGAGCTAGCCAATCACTCGCCTCTTGGTGTGCGGCTCCATTTCATCCCTTTGCTTTTTGTTCGGGTTCGGTTCTCCCCCGAAGAGCTGGCTTGGCGGCTTGTTGAGACAATCTGCCCGCATCATGTAGAGCAGAAGTCCTTTCGGTCTGGCATTTTGGCTTTGCCGGGTTGTGATTAGGTTCAGGATCCTAAGCCCGAAGCCCTATACCCTAGTCCTCGCGAAGCAGGAGGCAAAAAATCCTAAGCCATCCTTGACCAGACTGGCTTTCAAGACATAGGCTTACGTGGACCCTGACCGAAACGAGTTCTAAAAAAGACACCAAGGTTCAGGATCATGCTCCTAGGCTCCACCGAGACCGGCAAGAGCTCCTTCCTGAACCAGGCTGCTACGTCGAAGCCTCCTAGGTTGCTGTAGGAGTTTGCATAAATTTGTAAGAGTACACCCTTATCGACTTATAGACGATGTATAGCGATACTGTAGCTACCATAATGTACATGAGTATACGTACCCCGAAACCCCAAGCTGGTCCGGCCCCTACATGAAGTGCTCCGCTTTGACATCTTGGTAGCTTTCTGGGCGTGATTATCCCACCAATCCCAGGGCGGGTGTGTTCGGAATGCTGCTGCATTTCCGCCTGGAGAAGCAAGCCTTGTTGCAGCCGATGAATTATTAGACAAAACAACCTGTACCCACTCGTGTTTTTTTTGCAATTTTAACGGTTTGATTGCGCATGTACACGCACTTCTGCACTCACATATGTACCTGAACAAGTGCATGTTCCATTCACGAGGCAACACGTTGCACCTTCGACCCGGTGTACGTCACCACGATAGGCGTGGACTTTGCCAACTGCAAGTTTCACGCAGACTTCTTGATGAAATCTACGAAAAATGAGGGGTTCGAGCATAGAGGTGTCCTTCTCGAGCTGCTACAATTTTTTTCTAGCCTGCTGATAGTTTTTTCAGCCCCCAACTGTTCCCCAAATCCGAAGATGAAATGCTCTTGGAGCTCCTGGCCGAGAGCTAAGGAAGGTTTTGGTACCCTGCGACTTCAGATGCTGGACACTTCTGGGCAAGAGCGCTTCCGGGTGCAGACCATCTCGCTTAGCCGCAGAAACTGCGACGCGTGCCTGAGCGTGCTTGCCTGTCTTGAAGACGTTTGTGTAGATGCGGAGCCGATGCAAGATGCAGTGCAGTAGTAACTAGGCGAGACAGACGCGCATAGATACCACTTTGTCCCTGAGGTACTTGGTGTTCTTCAACCGTACGCGGCGCGAGACATTTGATGTTCTTCCACAGTTCCTGCGTGATGCGAACTCCATGGGCGTCAGGCGCCCGGAGATGATCACAGCCATTATCGGAGCCTTTGTCGTGAACCACCGGTAGGGAGTATTCTTTCGCTTGCTGCGAACACTAGTGTCTGTGGAGTACTACATTTTGGGTTTTGTGTCTTTTAATGCGCCGGATTCTATGCGAAAGCAGGGCAAGGGCATTACTGCATGAAGTCGTAGTTTGGCACTTCGTGCGCTCGGAATGGGCTAGGAAGTCCGCGCTCGGCGGAGCACCACGTCACGTGAACGCAGTGCCTGTTTACAAGGCTCAGTCGATCGGAGAACGCAGGGGGCCCTGCCGCAAAAAACAGGTAGCGAATGTGATTCATGAACTTGAAGTGTGGTGTTCCTCTACAGGTTAGCAGATGCGTGGTATAGGGCGGCAGTCACCAACAAATCCATATGCCGCTACGACGGCAACAATGCCTAGGGCATTTAAACTTTAAGCAGATGTGATTGAACCATCCTTGGTTCTGTACCCTCAGAACATCTTAGAACCATAGACACATGATAAGAGCCCCGAAACAAGAACCACCCATTTCTCGTTCAGGTTCCTAAGAGCTCAACCAGCCTCGGCCTAAAAGCCTGCTCCACCCGCCACCACACCTACAATTGCCAGACCTGGCTCATTTTGGCTCGTTTGCAGGGACAAAGTCCTGGGACGTGACATACATGAGGACGAAAGATGGTGGCGGCACATCCGCACGCAATAAGAACGCTGGATAAGTTTGGCGGAGCCAGCGATCTGATACCAAACGCTAAGGCGGCAACCGCCGCGACATGAGAGGCGCATCAACCACCCAAGAACCCGCTCAGGAACCCACACGGATCTGGAGGCGGTAGTCTCCAGTGAGGAGGCAAAGGAGTTTGCTGACTCTTGCGGCGCAAGCTACCACGAGGCTCCACACGGCTTTCGGATATGTCAGGACACGTTCAGTGTACAGTGCACTGTGCTTATTGCCCATCTTCGCTTAGCGTAGAGGCATGGTTAAGAAAACAAATGTCTTCTTCCGGATCAAGCACATTTGCCGAGACACCGTTTCATCTAGTTGCCAGCACAGCGTTTTTGCACAGTGTGAATACTCGCTGGAAGAGACTTGATCTGTTGATCTGCTCATCCACAGCACAAACTCCCAGATGCCACAGCACCTTTCATCGTAATTTTGAGCATGTTGCGTGGACCGGCAGATGCTAAGTGCTTGCGGACGAAACAGCAGAGGGGCCCGGCTCATCTCAACTTCCCAGAGGTCGGACTCGGCAAACTTCTTGCAGAGTCGAAACGGGGTGCCTGGATTAATATAGGGGCCTGAATAGTTACCTATACTATTTTGGCGGTTCCTTATTGGTATAATGGGCCCCAAAACCCTTTTCTAATTATGATTAAGGCCCCTACATTAGGCAAGTCTGTTGAGGTTCCTGGGAACTTGCCAGCTTCATGTCATGTTTTGTGCTTCTTTGGGCCTTGCCTTTAAGGCTTTAGGGGGCTCTAAACCTTAGACCCTAAAGCAGGTATAGGCAGCTTGAGGTGTCACGCCGACTTATGCAACTATGGATCCTCGCCTGGCTTGTCCGAGTTGTGAGAGTGTAAGCCCTAAACCCTAAAACCCTAAACCCTAAACCCCACTACCCTAAACCCTAAGCCACGAAGCCCCCTCCACTCCCGTAAAGCAGGTATGCTGTGCGGATGAGACATCAGTGAGCCAAGCTGTTTTCAGTATTCTCGACCAGCTCGTCGAGTCGGAGCTGGAACACCCCCTTGTTGCACTTGCTTAAAGGGTTTAGGGTTTAGGGTTTAGGGTTGCTTAAAGGGGAGGGGGGGGGGTTCAAAAGTGAAAGCTGCGCTTAAAGACGTCCCCCCCGCTCCGTCCTCCAGCTTGCTTGTCTCCGCCCGGATAGGGAGAAATACGGTGAATATGAGATTCGGCCTCAGTCGTCCTCGTTTTGGGTATGCAATGAGATTCCCTACTCTAGCGATTCTTAAGGCCCTCAAACTGGCCCTTCAAGAAGCCTCGCTGCGTGAAATGCCTCCGCGAAGGGAGCTTTCGTTTCGAAGGCGGTGGCTCTTCTCGGCTTAGGGCTCGTAGGGTTTAGGGCCTTAGGTCTGTTGTGTCTGTCTCACCCTCCGGAGAGCCCCAGCAGCGAGCAGAGGCCGCCCGGACAAAAGGCTGGCAGCATCCGCTTCAAGGAAATTTCGCCGCCCGCTGGCGCGTGAAAGATGGTTAGGTCGAATGCTGGAATGTCTACCCGCTAAGTCTGCATGCACAGAAGCTGCACAGACATTCGGAGATGTTCTGAGTGATGTGGGCGTATGGGTTTAGGGTGTTTGTGATTTCGACATCGGAGCTATATTTGGAAGTCGGATGTACGGCCGGACTTGTTCCGACTTCCCCTCCTTGACCATGGAAGTTCGCCAGTTCCGAGGATGGTTAAGATATGGGCAGTTCTCTAGATTGTAGATTAGGCTCCCTTTCTGGGTCCCGAATATAGTACGGCACCCTTATAAGAAAGACCCTAAAAGGCATCCTCATTTGGAGAACTACTCATATGATGTTTCGGGCTTAGCCCGAAAGACCTGCGAAGCTGCCAAGGCAGCCGCCACCGCCGCCGATGCCACCTGTCCAGCCCTCAGAGGTCTTTCGAAGTTTCACCATGTTTCTGTTAAACCAAGGAACTCTTCAGGACCGTGATCTCTATATTTTTGGGGTCAGAGGAGCCGGCAGACTAGAGCACGTGAGCAGCGATAGCAAGAGCGACACATGACGCGCCGGTCGACACATGCCCGGCCATTGTTGTTCACCTTCTGGCAACAGCGCGTCTTGCAAACTGTTTTCAACTTGGTTCTGCGGCTGCGTACTCTGCTCCGCGCACATGTCGACAGCATGAAGATTGTGCTGCTGGGTGCACGGTTTCTGGCTGGTTGTGGGTCCGTATTGCGCTTTCATGCGCTGGTCATGTTACTTGAGCATGTCGGGTGTGGAAGTACGCCACGCAGCCGCCAGCACGGTCGGGTATCTGAAGAGCCAGGGACCAAGGACACTTCGGTCGAAGTCCACCATGCCTACGAACCACAACGGGCGGGACAACTGCGAGCACACCACCAACAACAACAAGAACAACAACAGCAGGAACAGCAACAGCAGCAACAAGCGTCTCACACAAGCACCTTTCACAGAATGCCGAGCATCAAAGCCAACAACACATGTCCTCTGACTGTGAAAGGTCTAACATTTGGAAGCCAAAAGAAGCACCACCAACGCCGCCACCACCACCACCACCACCACCACCACCACCACCACCACCACCACCACCACCACGACCACGACCACGACCACGACGACGACACAGACGACCACCGGCCTACTCCGCATAACTCCATCAGGACAGGAGCACGCGATAGAACGTCGAGAACGCACACATCAGAAGCTGTGGGCATGGCAGGAATCAGGAGAAACTGAGAGTGACACCCAGAGATAATGCATTTATCGATATTTTTCGGCGACACGGATGCGAGAGCGCGTTCAAAGTTGTTCCCCGTGTTGTGATTAGTTTTTGGTCAAGCTTGCTATATTGAGTACACAGCTCAGAGCATCTGCCCTGGTAACCCTGATAGTATCGACATCGGCCAAACTGCTCGCAGTTTAGTAGCCAGTACAACTCTAGACGACTGTTACTGATGTCGTGGTTGTCCTGACCAAGGACTGGAGCGAGTGGGCCTGGGAGAAGAAGAAGACGGAGCTGGCTGCCGAGCGCCTGCGTCGTCAGTGCCAGGAGGCTTGGAGCGGGAGGGGGCTTTGGAATCTAGAGCCCATCCATGTCATTCGGTTCATTTCTTGCCCTTCGGTGCTGGAATCCGTTGTGCTCGGTTGGGGCGACGTGAATATTTGAGGCTCGTGGCATGGGCCCCCGGCACTCTTCAACCTACTGGCATCTTTTGTGAAAGCTATCCCTGGAGGGCTTTGAAGAGTCGACCTTCTCCCTCAGCTACTGCAAAGGTGCATCACTCTGTAGTAACTTCCAAGACAAGAGACCCTGACGTAGGATTCTTCGGTTTTTGGCCAGTCGCCAGTCCGCCAAGCTAGTCAAGTGGGTGTAAGCAAGGAGTATTGTGACAGTTATCTTGGGCGAGATGCCTCTGGATCTGCTTCTCTCCGAACATGTAGGTGGAAAGCACACGCATGCGAATGTGTTCTGACTGTCTGGTATGTATGGAGCCCTAGAAAAAACAAACCTCAGATCCATTTGTGTCTATGTGGTTTCGCCCCACAAGCTGTGCCCTGAAGGAGGAGGAGCGAGCCGCTCCATCTCCACCCCCCTGTGCCGCCCCACCGGGGAGGGGAGTGCCTTCTCCCAGTGAGGTGCGGCCTGGGGAAGGGCCAAAATAAACGTGGAAGGCGCAGGGGTACATCATGCATGTCTATAGATGTATATACATTTATAACAGGTTTATACATTACATCCTGTTCCCTGCTTCCATCCTGTTTTATTCCTTTCTATTGCATTGTAATAACTTACCATTCCGCATGGATGGGTGGATGGACGGATCGATGGATGGATGGATGGATGGATGGATGGATGGATGGATGGATGGATGGATGGATGGATGGATGGATGGATGGATGGATGCATGTAGGTACGTATGTCTGTATGTCTGCACTCGGGCACGACCAAATAAGCCACATCGGGTCGAGCCATGTGGGTGCGCTGCTGTCCAGTCTTTGGCCCTACAGGACAAAACAGAACCCTGCACCGCCTCATGAAGGCGATATATGGGATGATATACCGCCCACCTACATTAAACCAACACCCACGCCCTACAATACGACTAATTAGTGATAGTGTGTGGGTGGCGCGACAGAGACAGAGAGAGGGAGAGAGAGTACAGGACTTGCCCAGCAACTGGCGTCCCTGGCGGTGTCCTATCTTCCCATGGCAGAAGGCAGAGGAGACAGGGTTTTAAGGGTATACCATACTATGATATTGTAGCTTCACTAATGAACCGTCAGGAATAGCATGCGAGGTGTGCATTGAAGGATTTCAATCCCATTCCTGCGCTCCATCTCGCGGTTCAAAACGGATTCCGGGCACTAGGGTTGAGGTAAGTGAGCTGTAAGCTTAGGGTTGAAAAGATGTTGAACAGAAGGGATAAGGGCTCATAGGTACTCGCCCTGTGAGCCCCATATCGAATCCCCAAGCCGCTGCCCTCCTCAACCCTAAACCCCTAAACCCTAAACCCCTGCACCTATGGATCCTCGCCTGGCTTGTCCGAGTTGTGAGAGTGTAAACCCCTAAACCCCTAAACCC